CGCGAGCACTTTTGAGAACATTTAATGAATCTGTTAGCCAAAAGGGGCGGCAAATATAAGAGCAGTATAGTTTTATGGGAAGCGAGTAAATGCAAATGTAGGTGGGAGTGTTTCAAACAGTCAGGGGGAAAGCAACGCCACCACCACAATCTGCTCAATCTCGATTCCAGTCGTAGACGCCGTCATCGGTGAGATTGTTGACGCGAAAGAGCTGCTTGAATTTTTCACGCAGCTTGTCGTACTCGGGCGCCTCCTCAAACTTCAGCGCACGACTGTACTTGAGAAAGTGGGCAAACTCCGCCGGGTGGCCGTCCAACAGTTCGCTCTCCACCAGGTTTCGCTTCATGTTGCACACCAGCTAAACAAAACAAGAAAATTAGTTAGCAGTACTTCTAAAACAAAAGCTGTACATCAGCCGACCTTGTTGTGCTCCTCGGGACTGTCCACCATGATGCCCATCCAGGGCAACTTGCCGCAGAGAAAGTAGGCAAAGACGTAGCCCAACGACTCCAGATCATCCCGTCGCGACTGGTTCTTGCACAGGTGGGCGTTCACGCTGCGGTAGCGCATCGTTCCCACCGGCTCCTCCTCGTCGGTGCAGGGACCAGGGGAGATGTGGCGCTTCTTGGCAGTGCCACCACCACCACTCTTGCCACCACCACTCTTTTTCCCATCCTCACTCTTTTCTCCCTCCTTTTTCCCCTTCTTTTCCTTCGTCTCCTCCTCGANGTGCAGGGACCAGGGGAGATGTGGCGCTTCTTGGCAGTGCCACCACCACCACTCTTGCCACTCTTCTTCCCATCATCACTCTTTTCTCCCTCCTTTTTCCCCTTCTTTTCCTTCGTCTCCTCCTCGATCATGTACGCCTTGGCGCAGCCAAAGTCGACCAGGTAGACGACGTTGTTGTTGTGGCCCAGGGTAATGTTGGACGGTTTCAGATCGCGGAAGAGGTAGCCCACCTTGTGCAGCTCCTCCAGGCGCTTCAGCAGCTGCAAGGCGAGGTAGATGTGGCTCTTCAGGGTGAACCGACGGCCGCACTTCTCGAAGACCGCCTGCAGATTCGGGCCCAGGCGCTCCATGACCAGCACCTGAAAGTGCGCGCGGAAGCGGCCGTAGAAGAGGACCACGGCGAAACCGGTCTTGCCGCTCATCAGCCGGTACACCGTGTTCTCCGTGCGCAGCAGCTGCTCGGCGTTGGTCGGCTGCTTGGCGTCCACCTTCGCAAATTTGATGGCCACCTCCTGGTTGGTGAGCACGTCCCGGCCGGCGCGCACCATGCCGAAGGTGCCGCCCAGCTTCGGGCCCACCCGGTACGTGTCCGCCACCAGGTTCTCCTGGTCGGCCATCTCCTGCACCTGTCGCTCATTCTGCTGCTGCTGCTGAGTGGTAGTGGTGGTGTGCTGCTGCTTCTTCGTGGTCGGACTTTCCTTGTTGCTACTGCTGTTTCCGCCGCTGTGGCTCTTGCTGCTGCGGCTCTTGCTGCCGCCGTGGGATGACTTTGATTTACCGGGCATTTCTTCAGTAGAGAGAGATAGATGACTTGAAAGACAATGCTTGGATTTGGAGAGAGCTGAAGAATGAGCTGGCAAAGTAAAGGTGATGTCGTTTATTTGACTTCTATATTTGCACATCCTACAAAGCTAAAGTTCGACTTTTTCAATACCAAGTGAATCACATGATAATCCCCCCATTAAAAAACAAAATGAGGCAAAAGTTTAATTGTGGAAAAGCACAAAATTACATGTGTGGTTATATAAAGGCATGTTTTTAGCCAGGAGAAATTGAAGTAGGAGTAATGATAGTGGAGAATAGTATCCAGAAAGAGAGGAAATGTAGAAGAATAAAAGGGGAAAATGCACGAGTTGATTGAGTTAAAAATGCAGAGAAAAAGGGCTAGTGATGGAATAATCGGCGTCAACCCCCTCTGGTGATCATCTGCAGAAACATAGTAAAAGTAAAGAGAAAGGTTCTCGAAAGCAGGTTGTGAGATAAGCATATAAAAACTAAATGATAGGAAAGATATCGGGGAGTATGATGTTGTGAGATTGAGATCAAAATCTGATATGGATAGCTTCAGTGATTCAAAAGCAATGTTCAAAGACCAGCGGTGTTCGGCAAANCTCTGGTGATCTGCAGAAACATAGTAAAAGTAAAGAGAAAGGTTCTCGAAAGCAGGTTGTGAGATAAGCATATAAAAACTAAATGATAGGAAAGATATCGGGGAGTATGATGTTGTGAGATTGAGATCAAAATCTGATATGGAAAGCTTCAGTGATTCAAAAGCAATGTTCAAAGACCAGCGGTGTTCGGCAAAACGGGAGAGCTCTTCTGAGTGGCAGCATCGAGCTCCTGCTGAAGTTCAATGGCTCGCTTCATGCGAATATTAGGACAGAAGCTGCAAAGGAGGCAAAACAATACAATGGACAAACTCGCTAAAATAGGGAAAACGTGAAACTTACCGAACAGTGTGAGCCATTTCAGGGTTGGTGTTGTTGCACACTGGACACTTGAGAGCTCGCAGCTCCGGGCAAAGGGTTTTGCCCTGCTTGTCCTTGACGCGGTGAGGGCCTCGGCAGTAGGAGCATTTCAGACCCTTCTTTTGGGAAGCCTTGCGTTCAGAAGCAGATTTCTTCTGGTGAAAGTTCTCTGAGCTGTTGTTTGTTTCGGGAGTGCAATTTCCAGTGGGAGTAGTATTTCCAATGTGATTGGGATTTCCAACGCGAGTGGGACTTCCAATGGGAGTGATCGCCAGTTTATTAAAGCCAAAGTCTCCGAAGAAGCTCATGTTGCCTCCGAAAAGTGGAGTTGTTGGGCGAGGACGGCCCACAACTGCCGATTCACTTCCAGAGCTCCAGCCATCACTGGAAGCAGTGGACACGTTCAGAGCAGAGTTGATAGAGCCGTTCCATAGGGACTGAGCCACGTAGTCCAGGTAGCCAGTTGAGAAGCTGTTGAAGGCTGGGCGTTGAGGGTACTTCTTCACGCCAAATCGACCTTCTCCATGAGCGCCAGATTGCATCATCGACGGGGCCGACAAGTTGTGGTAGTCGACGTCACCACCACCGCCACAAAAAGGCTTCATGACGGCCGGGGAAAATGGCTTTCCGTAGTAGGCAAAGTCCTTCGGGGCTGCAAAGGGCGGCGGTACACTGAAACCAGGCGGCGGCTGCAGAGGGAAGGAGCCCATTGAGACGCTGTTGAAGTTGGTGAACTTTGGAATTGGAATTGGAATGGAGTTGCGGGACTGCATGACGAAGAGAACGGAAGAGAACGCGGTGATGATTGGAAGGAGCTTCGAGGAACTTCGGGCTTGGAGCGCGAGCAGGAAGTGATGTGACGAAGATAAAAGGAGGTAACGAGGTTTTCGAGATGTGAACTCTTCAGAATCTACTTGACGTTTGCAGTGGCAGCAGTTCATTCGTTCACGAATCGTCGCAGATAGGTCAATGACGCAACTACAGTTTACTGAACACACAGCTTGCGGAAACGCCACTGCGCTTATCAGACTGACTTGCGCGCCCCTGGCGGCCTTTTGACCACCTTTCAATGACCTAAATCTGAAAATTGAAAAAGGTAGTTCTTGAAGTTTAATTAAAGTCGGCATATTTCTTTTGAAAGCATATTTTTTCTTTTCATTTCCAGTTTCCTCTGCACCTCCCAATTTTGTTCAATCACTCGAATCAGCACAGCAAAAAACTAAATGGAAAAGACCAGAAGCAAAAGATCATATGCAACTTCGCTGGAGGGTGACAAAAGTGGGGTGAAGATTGCATTTTCATAGACTAGACAAATTGCTTCCAAGTGTGCCTGGCACACCTTTGCAGTAGAATGCATCACTGATTCGGTGAGTCAGTGTTGCTGTTTCATAACTTGCCACCTTTTAGTAATAAACGCCCGGAAAAAAACTAGATTGAGATTT